AAAAAAAAAAAAAAAAACTCAGCAGTGTTGGAACGACAGAAAACCATATGACAGACCACAGTAATTCATGCACTCATATGGCTGTACCTCGTTTTCTTCAGTGTGCTCTCTTACATCATACTGGTCTCCTTTAGTTACAACCAGATCTCCTTTGTCATTTGCCCTCACATCAAGACAAGCAATGACCTGATCAAAAGTAGAGAGAGAATTAAATGGTTCAATCCACAATCAGAAAAAAGGAGTTGGAATACATTATCTCTTTCTCCATTTTTTGAGATAAAGAAGCTAGATCCTCTTATGCCAGGGGGCTGCAACTTTCTAAACTATGTAGATTGGTCAAGTGATAAAGACAAAATACAAATATATGGCTATTATATGTCAGACAACTGGTTTTGGATTCACACGAGGCGTTGAAATTCACTTCATGGATATCTTTCCATGAACAAACCAATTTTCCAAATATTATGTAAAGGACTGAGGTATCGGCATTAAGAATCGTATTGCTTGACTGACTATTATTGAACAATTTCACTTGGATATGACCATCTCATCTCATACCAAGAACTCAAGCAAGTTTTGCATACTATTATATCTGGTTGCGGCATGAAATAAATAAATTTAAAAAAAAAAAAAAGAAAGAAAGAACTTTTCCTTCATCTTGATTTTATATTATAGATCTCTCTCATTTCATGTGCTTGAACATAAAATGTTTTCAACTTACAAAATTTCATATTATAATATAACATCGACCAAGGCATCAAGCTATACCATTATCCATACTAAAAAATCAAGATGTTATAGTACCAACATTATAAGTTTAGTAGCAAAACCAAATAGCATTACAGTTGTCAAAAAGCTACTGACCCTACAACTTACCCTCTTTGCAAGCTTAGATGCATTGCCTTGCACTGGCACCTGTGTTCACATGAAGATACCATTGTATTAAGTGAAGATGTTCTGTGAGATCAAAGAACAAGGTTGTATGACATTCTAGACTGTAGTACCTTTCCAACCACAGACTTTGAATACAAAAATCTCCTCAGGACAGAAAGGCCAACCTCTGCAAAATCATTTCCCCATCGTGTAAGAGACAGTTCCGTAATAGAACTAACGATATAAAGAATGGAACGGGGTTTCATTCCATTTGTTCCATAGAACCTAAAATATTTTGGAATAATTCTATCTTTGATGTCAGAATATGCCAAATATTTATACCACCACTCTTCTCTGGGTGAAACTGAACAGCATGTACATTTCCCCTTCTTATGGAAGCTATAAATTCATCTCCATAGTTACATGTGGAAGAGATCCACTCTTTGTTATCATCTGACTGCATAGGATAAAAATGCAATTTAGCCAGTTAAATTGAGCAGACAAAAACGTGAAATGGAGATGAAGATGTCAATAATCAAGATAGAGGCAAGATTAAGACATATTACTGGGATGGCACGATAAGAATGAACGAAATAGACATGGTGTTTTCCAATATCATCCAAAATCTCGGAGTCTTTTGTTACTTTGATGGCATTCCAGCCAATGTGAGGTACTCTGCATCCACTTGATGTGTCGAAACGCCCAACTACTCCAGGAATCAAACCAAGGCCCTTCACTGATAAAAAAAAAAAAAAAAAAAAAAAAAAAAAAAAAAAAAAAAAAAAAAAAAGAGTTCAGCAAATGAAACTACAATTAAGCAATGCATAAAAGACAATAAAAACATGAAGGACAAACTAAAGAAGAATTCAGTTCTTACTGTTCAGTTAACATATTCATTTTTTATTCCCTTCCACAATAAATAAATAAATAAATAAGAAGAAAATGGTAACCAGAAGCATGTAACATTCATCCATTCCTATGAAAACTTTTCCAATCACAAAGAAAAAATAATGATTCGCACACCACATTTCGATTCCAAAGGAATGAAAAAAACAAACCCTGAGATTTTTGCATGTTTACTGGAGACAAGTGGCTGAAGAAAGATTAATAATAAATGAAGCATTGTAAATGAGCTGAAATTAAAGCATTACCTGGTCCATTTTCCTCACTAGACTCAAAAAGTAGCTGCAATCCAAGACAGATGCCTAGAAATGGGCGATCTTGCTCAATATAATTACAGAGTGCTTCAGCCAATCTAAAAATATATATAGGCAGTTATAGGATCAAAGACACGGGCCTGGTGAAAGAAAAACTATAGAGTCGACATTACATGTCTACATTATAGATGCGCAGAAAAAACAGCAAATATTCCATATGTTTATCAGTCCTCATGCAACACAACTGACATATTAAAGTCAAGGAAATAATGTTCAGGCCCAAGGTTTTCCTTCTGGATGGGACAAGTCTTGTAGAAAATGGCATCCAACATAGTATAATTAGAAGTTTTGGTGATGAAAGGAACTTATTACAGATGATGACAGAAATGTATGAACGATAGCTAACAAGAATGTATAACATTGAATTCTAAATTCCAACTCGCACATATTAGCCTGACTATTTCTCATGCTATTAAGTTTCAACCTCACGTACATACAAATAGGATGCAACAGGCTGAAGAAATTGCTCGGTGAAGAGGCTTACCCCTTATTGTTCAGCACATCCATGGCAGGTGCAAACGCACCTACACCAGGAAAAATAAGACGCCGGGCATTCAGAATATCCTCCGGTGTTTGTACCTAGAAAACACCACCAAGTTAGAAAGCCGATAAACCATATTTTAGCATGTATGATAGTATCCAGTTCTCCAAATTAGACCCTTAAAGCTTTACCAATTGGAATAACATAACAAAAAATGAGATATATTCTCTTTACTGATTTTCATATCTCCCAGACTATTTTGTAGCAATTCAGACCTATAGATGTGAGCTCTTAAATTTAACAAGCAACACTTACATCCTTAATGCCGCACCCAAGGGCGCGAATCGCATTTCTGAGACTCCTCACATTTCCAGCTCCGTAATCAAGCAGCGTCACCACTGCATGGATTTCAATAGAGTATGACAAATTTTCTATAAGAACCAACAGTATGACAAATTCACCTCTAGCATTTCACTTATAGAAAAATGGTCGTCACCACAATCACAAACACACACGGCCCACGCACATTTCGAACACGAACGAACACACACGTAAATACAAATATAACACACACATACACACACAGAGAGAGAGAGAGAGAGAGAGAGAGGGCACCGGAGTCATCTGATGCCGATGAAGCGCGGACAGAGAACATTCTGGGACGTTTGAAGTTGAGAGGGTTGAATTGCAGGAACTGCCGAGAATGGAAACCGGCGGAGTAGGCGGAAGGGGACGAGGAATATGAGTGTCGTGGAGAAGACAGCTGTTGAGGTGAAGCGCACGCCGCCATTCTGATCCGCCGCAGTTGGTGCAGAGGACGGCCACCCGCAGTCTCTCAACTCGACTCTTGAATCGTTAGGCCGATTGAGGAGATTGTCAGGTCAAAGTGGTAGACGAATTGCTGGGCTTCGGAAGTTCCCACTTATTGGGCTCTTGGCCCATCTAAGTTTAGGAGATATGAGCGGGCTTCAGTCTCGCTCCACGGGTAAGCAATTGAACCAAATTCGCTATAAACTATAAACTGAGGACCAAATTTGTAATTTTCTCGCTCTTCTCAAGTGGCCCACGGGCCGGGCCCCACCCGGCCGGCGGGCCTCCATTGTCCCGCCAAAAACCAAGGACCGGGCCCGTGAACCGGCCCGGTCCTAGCTTGCTAGGACCAAAAATAGAAAAACCGGACCCAGGCATGACCCGTAATTAGACATGACTAAAAACCGGGCCGGTCATGACCCGACCCGGCCCGACAGGGTTGGGTTTGGCGGACCCTGAACCGGTACAGATTAGGTCCGTATCGGGTCCATGACCCGGGGAGCCGGGCCGAGCTCGGCCCGGATCTGGGCCCGCCCTAATAAAAAAGAAAAAAAAAGAGAAAAATTCAAAAACTATACATTTTTCCCGTGTCGGCACTGACCTGGCCCGGCCCTCCAGGTCAGGATCGAAAAATCCCGACCCGGGATTGGCCCGGATGAAACCGAGCCGGGCCCGGACCCATGGTCAATGGGTTTGACCGGGCCGGGTCCGTGCTGGGTCTGGACCGGGTCGGTGGGCCGATTGACCCGTGGTCATGTCTACCCGTAATGCCACGGTGACGGTTCTCGGAACCGACAATCTACGGGCCGGTTGTGGGCCGGGACTAGGGATGGCAATGGGCCCCCGAAACCCGAAACCCGATGGGTAAAAACTCCATTAGGAGCCGGGTATGGCTAAAATTTGGCCCCATGGATCTGTTAATGGGGGAAAAAGTCCCCCCATCGGGTCTAGCGGGGATGGGTCCGTTCTCTCTCCCCCCATACCCATTAACCCATGGGTATAATGTACCCGATATAATTTGGCCCAATATATGTTTTGGCCCAGCCCAAAAGACTCAGCAGGCAGCAGCACTACTAATCCCTAGATATATAACTAATAAGAGTCAATCTCAATTCTCATCCTCTTGCTCTCCCAGTCCCACGCCCCCGCCCACCACACACACTCGCAGACTCCACTCCAGGCCGACAGCTCCTGCGTGTGACCGGCGGCTCCACCGCTCCACCAAGATTGCATCTTGCTGGTTCCGCTTCCGCGGCCGTGCCGGCGCCGTCGAGTGAAATCGGGTCTGTGTCACCCGATGGGTACCCATCACCCACACGGGTGCCGGGTCTGGGGGAAATCTGGACCCGAGACGGGTGATGGGGGCGAGTGACGGGGGTATTTTCCCTAATGGGGATGGGTGACGGGGGGTCCCCCAGCGGGTTTGTCACCCATTCCCATCCCTAGCCGGGACCCGTCTTCACCAGATTCTTTTCTTCCTAGGAGTAATTTTCGGCATCCATTTATTCCATCTCAACCAACTAATTAATCACTACTTCTTTCCGATCAAATTTTTGAAGTACCAAACAAATCCGACTGGGAAAATTCCGAGAAGATGATTCAGCCTCTCTACGCTCTTGTTTTCAGTGAAGTTGCAGTGATCCTAGTTCTTCTTTTCCGCACGCCGTTGAGAAAGCCGCTTTTGATGCTGTTGGACAGATTGAAGCAAGGCCGGGGCCCCGTGGTGGCGTCCACCGCCGGCGGGACTCTTTTCGTGATTATGGTTTCACTCTTGTTCAACATTACCACGATCCAGAACCGAACCCTTGAAGGCGGCGGCGTTAATCCCACCGACCAGGTTCTCTTGGCCAATCAACTTCTCGAAGCTTCGCTTTTGGGTAAAGTTTTCCTCTTGTATTGTTTTTTTTTTTTTTAATTTTGTGGATCTTCTGAAAATTAGCTGCCGCATCAGTTGCAGACTTTCGTGATCGCCGAGAATTGTGTTAGTAGTGTGAGTTTAATTTATTAATTCCGGTGTATTAATTCCGGTGTACTGATTTGATTTTTGTTCACTGGGATGTATCAATTTACACAAATTCTTGGGTGAGACGATCTAATAGTTAGACCTGTCATAATTTCTTCAAATAGTTAGACCTGTCATAATTTCTTCTAACAAAAAATGCGTACTTGTGTTATGAGATATTGAGATGCCATTATATTGTTTATATTGTTTTTTAGAGTACGACTTTGAAGTTCGAAAGTGTGCATATATGTTGGAAAGTACGGTTGCTCGATGATAAATTTATATGTTCCATTGATGTTATGGGTGACAAATAATATGCCTTGATTGTGGAAGCTTCTGCACATGTTTTGTGTTTTTTATCGAACTATACGAGAAAATGATTACTGGCTATGATTGATTTCATAGTGATATGAAGTAATGCCAATTATTTAGAAGCTGAGAATGCGAATTGTGGATGTGCAGGATTTGCCCTATTTCTGGGCTTGATGATCGACAGAATCCATTATTACATCAAAGAGGTTCGCATGCTGAGAAAGCATTTGGAGGCTGTAAAAAAGTCGGAGGATGTCCATAGCAAGGAGAAAGGCAAAAGTAAAGCTGTTGAGGAAGATGATTAAATTAGCGCAGACATGCAACTGACAGTAAGCTTGAGCAGGTGCCACTGGAAGTTCTTAAACCTGCATATTTATTGTCAGTATTAGAATTATGCAGTAAAGTAAAGAACAGGACAACCTAGGGAAATCCAAACAACATTTGTTTCCTTTTTGTTCGACTTTATGTTAATGACGGTTTGCTGATGTTTGAGTTATATGGCATTTTCTGGTCGTATATGAATATGGCCTTTCCCGTGTTTGTTATGCATAAATGGTTGCTCTTTCCACCTCAAGATAGGGATTTTTGCTTAGCCTCTGATTTCATAGTTAGGGTAAGCACTAAAAAAAAAAAAGAAAAAAAAAAAGAGAGATTGATACAGAACAGAGCTGGCTAATGTTGGGATCAAGTAAAGCTTTGGGTGATCTAATATGGTCACTGCAGATTCAGTATCTGATTGGACTTCTAAAGTGAACTTACGGATCTGGGATTCTTCTATCGGGGTTCTGTTTCAGAGATAGAGTGATAAAGTAACCGAGAAATATCACGGGAATATAGGAATAAGGATATCAATGAGTACCAAATTTTCCTTTTCACCACAGCATTCAATTGCTTGTGAAGATTTTAAGCTAATACAATTGTTTTTCATTGTTACTTCTTCGAATCACCAGTTGCTCCCTACTAATGTTACATCCATTTCCATCACTACATATTCTCATCTCATTTCATATGCATTACACCTTTTTTTTTTTTTTGTTATAATTTCTTTTTTCACTATCCAGTATGCTGTTGCAAAAAGGAGGAGAAAAAAATATAGAACAGGTGAGAGAGAATCAAACTGAAAGGATAGATAACTTCTCCAAAGGGATGCCACCGAATTCAGAATAGAAGTAGAATGCACCTAAGTGTTCCAAATTATGTTTCTTGTTTCCTGTGTTTGGTTCTTCTTTTCCTTTATATATATACTTGCTGGAAGAGCATATTTATCTATTGCACTTGATATTGAAAGAGTTACCGATATTTCCTTAAACTTTTTAGTGCAAATGGTGAGAGATGATGCACAAATGAATAAGCAGTAGGTGGCTTTCATTTGTGTAGTTGGCTTGCGCTGAAATAATCACGAGTAGTTCATAATTCATTGAACTTTTAAGAGAAGCTAGATAAGTCTATAGATCAAACATAAATTTTTGCTCTTTAAGAATCCTTTTGTGGCTACAGTGAGCAACTAGAATGAATATATGGAGGAAAGAAATATAAATAACCTCTTCAAAATGGATATGATGTGTTGCTATAGTGCAGAATTCACCTTCTTTTTTTTTTTTTGTTTTTTGAAATATTAAACCATATTTCTGTCTGCATTTCTTTGCCGGTCTTCTCCAGGTTCATTGATGTGGGAATGAGTGCATCAGGCAACCTTACATGTTGCCTCCCCCTGCCTTTTTGCGTTTTTAAGTTGAACCGAGTCATTTCATAACATCGGCCCCTCTTATTCTATGATAATCATGTTTGGTTGGCATTGTTGGTTGTGGAGTATTCTTAAACGCTTTTCCTTTGAGGGTTGTTTATTGCGGCCGATGTACAAATAGTCAACATCAAAAGCTAGGGGATTTCATAAATAGTTTGTCCAAATATGTAGAGTCCCCTAGACAGATCTGACGAGGAGGTAATTCTCAATCCAAATCTGGCCATCGTAGAACAACAACGCCAGAGAAAAAAGTCACACGCGAAGAGCGGCAACGACGAGTCACGCTACTGCCGCCGAGGCCGAGAAAAGAAGCTCAGCCTCCGAGAGCCTCAGACCGGAAACAACGAAAAGGTGGCCAAAGGGAGGACTCCCGGACACGAGGCTGGAAGAGGAAAATCGGCACTAGTTAACAGAAGAAGAGAACTTCTCACAAAAGATAGATAACAAAAGCAATTAATAATATGGAGTGAATACCATCACGTAAACAAGATAATAATATTGGATATTAAGTGCGTAATTTAATTACGGGAATTTAAATTATGGGGCTTAATGGCCAACCATATAACAGTTTATATGTTGTAGAATGACTTTCAGCACTTTTTTAGAATTTAAATGCGAAATTTAAATATATGAATTTAAAGTATGGGCTTTAAAGGCCAACCATATAAAAGAAAATATAGTTGTGGAATTTCTTCCAGAAGTTTTGTGCGGATGCGGAATTTAAAGTGCGGAATTGCTTCCAGCAGGTATTTGCATAAATAGTAAAGAGCGGAATTTAATTGCGGAATTACTTCCAGCAGGTATTTGCATATTAAAGTGCGGAAAGTAAATTGCAGAAAGTAAATTGCGGAATTACTTCCAGTAGGTATTTGCATAAAGTAAATAGCATAATTTAAAATTTATGGGGCTTAAAACCAACCATAATGTATTTAATTACTTTAGGTTTTGTTAGTTATGGGGCTTGAAGCCAACCATATGCCACAACATGGAAAAGACCGTATAAGATCTGGCTCGTGTGGTGGCCCTTTACTTGATAGGGCTAAACTCCGCTTCTAAAGATGCAATTGACCTGTCGATGAATAAATAGAATCCAGCCATTGCGCTCGGCCCTGGCCATAAGAGGCATATATATATATATATATATATATATATATATGTAGTTATAATAATAATAATAATAATAATAATAATAATAATAATAATAATATTTAGTATGTTAACACATGTGGTAGAACCGACCATGTAACAAATAATTATAATAAATATTAATATGGAGCTAGTGTCACCATGAAAGCAAGAAAAGAGAATACTTATGGGGATGAACCACCACAAAAATAAGTAAGATTAAAATTATGAACAAGAACTTAAACATAAATGAACAAGAACTTGAACATATATGAACCTTGTATTGATAATCGGTTTATGATACAATAATTACTCCAATCCTTCAAAGCTTTGGGTAATATTTTGAATATTCAATACTAACACTATACTAATAAATATGGGATTTGAAAGAGTTTAGGAATTTGAGAATTTGAAGAACATAAAAGAAAATTTAAGTTATGGAAGCTTAAACTGTTCTAAATGCTCTCGACACTTGGAGAAGAAAGAGCGGAGAAGAGAGGAGAAGAGAAGAGAAGAGAAGAGAGGAGAGGGGAGGGGAGAAGAGAAGAGAGGAGAGGGGAGGGGAGAAGAGAAGAAAGCTTATGGGAGAAGGAAGAGAAAGTAGTATGGTGTTGTGTTCTATAAATTGTGGTGGGTGGTTTATATAGATAGAGTTTGAAGACATGATGGGGGTGGGGGTGGGGTAGAATGGTTTTATTTTTCTACTTCATCATGATTGTATTTTGATATTTCTTGATTTTTTCTTCCCTTTATATATATACATATATGTATATATATATATATTTAGTTTTTTTTCTTGATTTTTTGATTTTTCTCTTTTTATGTTGTTTTTCTTAAGCTATTTCAACATCTTGAATAAAAACAACTAAATCCTAGGAAATTGAATAAATTACAATACTTAAACAATATCAAGTGTCATTAGTTAAAATCGGATCTTCATAATCGTCCGGAAGGTTGACTGTTGTCTCCTTTTCTTCTTGTACTTGTGATGGAGATCCAACTGATATTTGTGATGGCCTGGGGAAGAATTGAACAAGAGCTTTGTGATTTATTTGCCACAAAACCTGTTGTTGCATTGGTGGAGAATAGTTCTGAAGGACTTGTTACCCTAGGTTCTGTGGAACCATGATCAATGTCCATTGCCGAATTTGATATGGCTTTACGCTATTAGGAATGTTATATCTATCCCACCATTTAATGTGGAACCTTCGTCGGAGTGTTAGTATATTTTTGTAGTCTACTTCAATTGTCCAAGACCTTACCCACGGAACATAGAATTTGGTGCAAAATAGAGCTAGTGGTGGGAAATTTTGCTCGAACTGAGTGGGGTTGAAATGGGATTTGAAGATATGAAAGCTTTCACGGACAGTGGACTTTAATATCTCAGAGAATGAACCATATAGTTCCCACCAATGGATCCACCATAGGGGAAATCTTGAGGTATCAGCTGTTTTGGTATCAACATAAATTAACCATGAATGTTTTCGCTTTTTATTTTGTATTATGAATTAATTATACCAGGCTTGTTGGTACTCCCAATAGTTGAAGGATTTGGAGAAGAACAGGCTTCGAACATACTCTTCTGAAAAGCTCAAGGGAGCAGAGAGGTCGTAATCCCAATCTAAGGTGAAATTACCTAGTGGATTTTGAAAGTAGAATATGACGGACTTTTGCATCCTTGGTGAAATGGTGTTTTATGGAGGTAGATTTTGTAGTTTCTAGAATGGCTTGGTAAAATTCCGGAGTTTTTTTTCTCGTCGAAGGGTTTATAAGATCTCCCTTGTCCAAAGATTTTTTGAAATATTTCAAATGGATCATTATTATGGTATTTGATCTCCATGTTTGTAATGTTTTACCATTTTGGTTTTGTGAAGTACTCAGATGAGGTTTTTGAGAAGAATTTTTGTGTAGATGTTAGGGAAGTTGATTTTGAAGATTAGGTATTTGATGATTCGGCAGGTTTTGGGATACTTTGGGATTTTAGTAAAGTTATGGTATTTTCAAGCATATGAATGCGGCTTTCAAGGTCTGAATTTTCTGATGTTTGGGAGGTTTGTATCTGTTTTTGGGGAATTTGCATTATCAAGGCTTTTGATTGGGCATCATCTTTTAGTTCTTTTTCTTCTCTAACTACTGCATCATACCATATTTCTCGAGTAGTTTGGAGAGCTGGTTGCTTTTCCTTGTCCTTTTTAGGTGCCATGTAACCTGTTTTGAAGGAATGCCCTGGTAAGGAAGTCAGATAATAAATTTGCTTCTTCCTTGATAAATTCAATATGTCTTGTGACCTGTTTTGAATAAATTCTTTGGTAAGAAAGTCAGGTAAAGAATTTTTTTCTCCTTCGATAAACTCAATATCAAAGTCAAAGATACTCAGTATCGCTTGCCACCGAGCAAAAAATTGTTTTGAAGCAACATTATGGACATCCTTTTGTAAAACTTCTTTTGCACTTTTGCAATCGATGCGGAGTAAATTTTTTTTATTTAGGATGTCACTTTGAAATTTTTGTATACACATCACAATACTCAAGATTTCCTTTTTTATAGTTGATTAGTTTTTTTGAGTATCATTCCAATGTGCTGATGTAAATTGCACAATAACTTCTTTATCTCCTTGTTTATGTTTTAAGATACCGCCATACCTAATATCAGAGGCATCGGTTTCGACAATTTTTTGTAGTGTAGGGTCAACAATATGAAGGCAGGGAATATCAGAAACAAAATCTTTTATTTCTTTTACTAAGTTAGTATGTTCATCTGTCCAAGACGCTGGATTCTTTTTTAATATATCATGTAAAGTTTTTGTCATTCTATTCAAATTCGGACAGAAATCTAATACATAATTTAGGCTTCCCAAAAATCTTTGTAATTGTGTTTATTCTAGAATTTTGTCAGGGAATTTGTTTGCAAGTTGTAAGGACCTTTCAATTGGAACTATTGTTCCTTTGAAAATATAGTGTCATAGAAATTGCATTTTGATTTGGAATAAACTCATTTTTGGTTTAGAGACAACCAAACCATCTTGTTTTGTAACATATAAGAATGTTTTTAAATGTTTAAAATGTTCTTCGATAGAATTTGAGAATATAAAAACATCATCAATATAAACTATACAGAATTTTGAACAATCATGATAAATTTCATTCATTATTCGTTGAAATTCTGAAGGAGCATTTTTAAAACCAAATGGCATTACGTTCCATTCATATTGTCCGAATGGAACAGTGAACGCAGTTCTATACTTGTCTTTTTCAGCAATTTGAATTTGCCAAAATCCTGACTTCATGTCAAACTTTGAAAATATAAATACAAAGTGAAGTTTTTTTCAATAGATCATTTTTATTAGGAATTGGATACCTAATCCATTTTAATGTAGTATTCAGTGGTTTATAATTAATGACTAGTCTTGGAGTTCCTCTTTCTATTTCAAATGGCTTATTAACATAGAAGGCAACACAAATCCAAGGGGATCGAGATTTAGAAATTAATTTTTTATCTATTAATTCCTTAATATCTTTTCTGCAATGTTCTTCCAACTCATGATTCATTTGAATTGGTCTTGCTTTAGTGGAAATTTGTTGTTCAGTAAACTTTTCTTCATAAGGAAGATCAACAATGTGTTGTTTTCTATTCCAAAAAGCATTTGGTAAATCAAAACAAATTTCTTTTTCGAAAAGTATTTGTAGTTTTGAAATTTTCTCTTTTATCTCTTGAGATTCTAATTGCTTTTCAATGTGTTTTAACTTTTAAAGAAACATCCTTTTTGATGGTTTGAAGATGAAGGGTTTTTTCTAAGATAAGATTGTTTATTATATCTTCATGAATAGAATAGGCTTTGATCAGATTTAAATTTCTAGATTTTGGGCTTTCAAGAAAATCAAAATATAGTTTTTTGTTATTTGTTTTAAAAGAGATAGAACGCGTTCCGACCATGTAAGGAGTAATCAGGTTAATAAAAGGAGTTCCTAGAATGACTGTATGATGTATATTTTCAACAAGAACAAAATAAGTTCTTTAATGGGAAACCATTATTAACGATAATTGCCTCGGTTTTTCCACTAATATTTAGTCTTGAATTATTAGCTGTAGAAAGACTCTCTGTAGTTTTTTCTTGAAATCTTTTAGGAACAATATCATTTTTAATGCAGTTTAAATCTATACCAGTATCAAAAAGTGCTACGATATTTATTTTGAAGTTTTTAGCGAACTGTAAAGTAATTTGTATAAGGTATTTTTGGGAAGTGATTTCTTTAAGAATGAATAAGAAATTCTCAAAAATATTCTTTATATTTTCTATGTTGTTAACTTCAATAATTTCTTCTTCATACTTTTGGCATTCTTCCAACTTAATAATATTCCTTATAAATTTGGTGTCTTGTCTTTGTTTTTGTTTTATATCTTTTAAATCATTTTTCACTTATTTAATTTCCTTTTGTAAATCACTAATAGTTTTGTTATTTTCCAAGCTTGTGTTATGAATACTCTTCATGATTTTAGTATGGAACTTCTGTTCCCTTTTTTGAATACTAACATGATTTGACTCATACCTAGGCTTAGAGTGAAAGCTAGTCGAAGCTGACTCTTCTGATTTGTAAGACATAGTTAAGTTGGGATTTGTTGACACATCCAGGAGATTAACACCTTTGTTGGTTAGTTTATCTTCTCTTGGGAATGATTGATAAGATGATAATCTATTCACTTGTTGGGATTGATTTAAGACATTATCTTTATTTGAATCGTCGCAAGGAATAGAAGTAATTTCGGATGTGGGTGTTACTAGGTGAGTAAGATTGGTTTCTTGGTCTTGCATTGTTTCCATAAGACCAACTAAATTTCCAGAGTTTTTACAATGTTTGGAAAGGGGGTTATCATCGTCTTTTGAAGAATTTGAAGAGATGATAATTTTATTTGATCAGGAAGTATTGTTTCTTTCAAGGAGGATTTTTAGAATCATTTGTAACTCTTTTGGATTTCTTTTTGACGGACCTTGATTTTTTGGAAGGAAAATAAATAGAATTTTCTAAAAAATATATTTTAAACCAATCAAAAAATAGAATACGAATTTTGTATTTGTTTAAGTGGTCATAAAAATTTTCTTGAACATATACGAACCATGTATTGATAATCGGTGTTTGATACAATAATTACTCCAGGCCTTCAAAGCTTTGAGTAATCTTTTGAATATTCAATACTAACACTATACCAATAACACATATGGGATTTGAAATAGTTTAAGTATTTGGGAATTTGAAGAACATAAAAGAAAAGTTAAGGTATGGAAGCTTAAACCGTTCTAAATGCTCTCGGCATTTGGAGAAGAAAGAGAGGAGAAGAGAGGAGAGTGGAGGGGAGAAGAGAAGAAAGCTTATGGGAGAAGGAAGAGAGAGTGGCATGAATTGTGGTGGGTGGTTTTTATAGATGGAGTTTGAAGACATGATGGGGTGGGAGTGGGATAGAATAGTTTTATTTTTCTATTTCATCAAGATTGTATTTTGATATTTCATGATTTTTTTCTTCCCTTATATATATATATATATATATATATATATATATACTCACTTCATTTTAATAGTTTTAGTTTTAATTTGTAAATTAATTATTACTACACAATTTAATATGAATTACTATTACCCACCTATATATTTTTTCCATCCCTCATACATATTATTTTTGTCAATTTTAACCATTACGCTTTCATCTCACCACCAATTATATTTTTTAAATTATTCATTTTCTCCACATTTATTTTTCTCTATTGAAATAAAATTCCAAAAAAGCACATCCAATCACACCTCAACACTCAAGACATACATTTAGAGATGTCAAACACAAGCGAATCACTGGAATTGATTTTGCGGACCTCGTAACTTAATACAGCACAACTGAATCCACGGTGCTCCGACACCAATGCCTTGGTACAACTTTGATCTTCCCACAATCTATTTTTCTACACGCTCTTATCCTTGCTCTTCGCCAATTTGGATGCCTATGAATTCCGACTATGAAATAGTTGACATCAGCATCGCGCGAATTTTAGCTCTCAAATCACCAGGAATCTCAACAGTAGTGTCCAAAGGCTGAGACGGGACTCTATCTTGGCGACTCAGCATATCAGTACAGGTTTCTGAGCTGATGACATCACCACTTGAGATTCCTCCACGTTCTTCAGAGACCCTACCGTGTATCTCACCCTCTTCCAGCTCGTTTCTTTCATTCTCATTGTGATGCTCGTCGCTCGAGGAAGTCTCGCGTTTGCGCTTGGATCGAGTTTTCTTGTCTTTGCGGCTATGCCTGTGTTTGCCTCCATCACGCGAACGATGTTTTCCTTTGCTTTCGTGATAATCATCATCACCTTCATCTTCCGACCGCTTGGACGAACGCCTTTTCTTTAAGCGCTCACGAGACGAATGGTGCCTACGATGTCTCTTACTAGTGCACTTATGATTCTTGTCATCTTCATACTTTTCACTATGTTCCCCTTCATCCTCACTTTCATCTGAATGGTAAGAATGAGTTCGCTCTCTTCTCTTACGACGCTTCTTCCTGCTGGACCTTTCATGATTCTTGTCCTCATCATGCCTGTCTTCACGCTCTTTTTCTTTACGGTTCTTACGGTCCTTGCCCTCTTTATTACTTTCTCTTTCATCTTCAATTTCACTGGACAAAGAATGAGACCGATGCCTTCTGTGATGGTGCTTCCCTTCAGTTTCTATTGCATTGTTTCTTTCATCGTGCCTCCCTGATTTCGATCTACTGCCATTCCCTTTGGAGTGGGGAACATTACGCGTTCTGTTGTCTTTATCATCACAGTCATCATCCTTGCATAGGTCAGACCTTGACCGGTACTTTCTATTCAAGGGTCGCTCGTTGTGCTCACCAAAATAATTCCTCTCGGGTTTTTCACCAGTAGCGGGTGCATCAACATGAGCAGGGGCTAAATTGCCTTCTTCTCTTTTGCTATCAAGATTAACTTCATCAGTTGACCTTGATTGAGGTTCTACAGATGAGCCACGTGAAGTTCCAGCTACTACTGTAGTAGAAGGCACTTGCCCACTTTTCAACATGGCCACAAACCTTTTAGCTCTCTGCAACCTTTCAGCCTTGAGCTTTTGCTCTTTGGTCAAGAGTGCCTCAGGATCAGCTCCAACACCAATTGTATTGGGGGCAACAACAGAGACATTACAACTTTCACTCTGCGCTGACTTTTCAACAGCATTATCTCTTATGGAGGACAGAGGATTGCTAGAATCTCCAGGCTGCCCACCTTCCTTGTTATTTGAAACATATGCGCTCGAAGAAACTATTGAAGAACTTCGAAAATTATAATTGTTGATGCCTCTTGTGGCGGCCTGAAGGATAGCAGCTGCACTTGAAGCATCTATTCGCCATTCTTGCTGGGCTTCGTTCGATTCTGGTTCCGGTGTTTCCTTCTTTGATTTGCCTATCACCATTGAGAATTTCTCTTTCCTATCCAATTCCAGTGGCATGTCACAGCCCAAGGATGAAAGATCATCCTTCTCCTTGATTGCACAATTTTTTTGATCCAACCTATGTCCGAGTAGGCCATCCTTACCAGAACTGGAACTCTTGCAATTTAGTTTTGACTGCGAGAAGATACAAAATATTAGAAACAAAATGAAATATTATGTTCCATCTTAAAAAAAAAGGAAAAAAAAAATAAAAAATGGCATGCCTATTTATAAAGAACAAACAAGTTTTCTTATTTCCAAAGAAACTAAGTGGAAGATGTATCAATTTAAGCAGTTCAAAGGCCACAGGCCTCTCAAGACCAGGTTCTTTCATGAATGGCAGATTAAATTAACAAAAGGAATTTTCCACGCGTGCCATATTTTAGATTCCAACTAAAGCTCTGATATGGGTTATTGTTGAGTAAATCAGCTTTGATAGCTTTAGCTCCTCTAATTTCATATTGTTGGAAATTTATTTGAACTCATAGCAATAAAGTTAAACTTGACATATTCTAAAGCTTGACAATTATATGGCTGAAATGATCTTCACGTCAAAAGGCTCATTACATCATTTGATGGGATCACATGTAGGCATGACAAAGGAAACAGGGTACCCTTCGGCCAAGCTGTCTGGATTGATGTCTCATAGTTCGCAAACCATATCTTTTTCAAGTGGTCCAACTAGTGCATACAAATATTGCTAGAAGTTAATTAAAATTCTTACTAAAAATGTTAACAATATCAACTACACTTGAAAAAACTCTGATCTTCACTTGAATAGGCTCATCAGATAATTAGATGATGTCACATGCTGCCACTATAAAGGAAACAAGATAATGTACTGGAAAGAAGCAAAGCAAACAGTATTCTTTTGAAGTGGTCGAGCTAGCGCATATGAATATTGTAACTAAAAGCTTCTAATACACAGGGCGATTGGATACCATTTCATTTGGATAATATTTCCCAAGATAAAAGGTTTTACTAATTTCCCCAAGAACTTAAGAATTTAACGATCATTAATTCACTTTCCTTTTTTCCCTCACCAATAATCATTAAAACTTACTTTTTCATATATTTCGCCAATACATAGTCATGATTTTATTACTTTTATAGTGTTACATCTTCATCTTATCCATTCACTTTCAAGATTTTCTACTCCATTCAAAAATAAATTTATTATTATTCATTTTTCTCTCACCAAATCAAAATTTCAAAATGAGATGTTCATAATCATGGCGCCAAAATCATGTCCTGTGATCATTCAAATATAGTAATAGTAATGCTAAGAAATATAATCATTTAGCAAGGAAGGAACATAAAAGAAAATCCAAACAGTTTTCAGGTGATTAATGAAGAGAAATCATACCTCCTGAGCTGTTTGAAGGACTTTTAAGTAATAAAAATGATACGGGTCTGATGGCATAAGGAAAGGAAATCTCTCATGCTGCCTCTCCTGTTCAATCAGAGTCTCCTCGAACTGCTTCCCTTTTCTCATTGTAAGTTCAACAAGCTTGTCAATTGATCTCTTTAATTCAGCTGGAGGCTCTAAAACTAATGGTTTAATCTTTGAAGTCTTTGCCATAGTCAAATTCCTTGCTTTATCTACATCAGTAGTGGATAAACAAGATTTCTCTCCCATGCCATTTGCAGTTCCAGATTTGGATGTAACAATTGAAGAGTTCTTCTTCACAGCGAAAACCTTCTCACTGTTGGCAAAAATTGGGTTTTTCGACATTGGTTCAGTCTTTGCTGTACTTGCCTCAGTTTTGGAAGAGGAAGTGACATCATGGGAAACATCTCTTTCAGGTATTACATTGTCATCATCCTCGTCTTCATCACCAGATCCATAGACAGAACCGAGCAAGATTAAAGCTCCATCTACGCCATTTGATTTGTTATGATCAATAGAAGAATTTTTCTGTTCATCTTGAAACTTCTTATCCGATTCAGAATGGAGAAGTTCAATATGCTCAACAAGATATCTGAAGTATGCATGCAGATGATGGCCAGGCATCAAAAACCCAAATGTTGGATTATCCCCCTGCTTCACCCGTAGAATAATCTCTGACTGTCCACCATGTTTGCTCACAAATAAAGCAGTCCTCGCAATAATCTGATGTACCTTCTCGGTAGGAGGCTGGAAGTATGAATGCAAACGAGTAAGACCATAAGAAAGAAAATCAATTCAACAATAAGAAGTTTCAAATCTTCCACATGGCATAATATCTTCAACGAAAATTTCAACTTGAAAATAAATTTATCAATGCACAATGTAAATTAAACCATAACTCATGATATGAAAACACAAAAAGGATAAGTATGAATTATATCATAAAATCATAATATTTTTTCCTCTTAAACCATTAGTCTTCATAAAGAGAATGTATGATTTCCAAATCCCACCTGCAACGCCCATGACATGGCATCAAAAGGAACAAGGTGTGTGTACGATAACCTATCACAGGTAGCCCATCTCTGCTCCAAGCTTCTGAAAACTTGACATGGTGAGCCTTAACACATTTGCAGCTTCGCCAAAATGCTATAAGACTATACTGAGGATTTTGGATAAGCAAGTAATAGGATACGAAGCCCATGCAGAATGCACAAATTCTAGACTAGAGAGTAATCCAGGCTTACCAAGGATTGAAGAAGGTCGTTGGGAATTGGGAAGTGAGGTAAAAATCCAGAAGATTCCATATTAACTTCTGTTTTCTTCTCGTCTGCATAATTATCAGTGTCACCATATGATAATGAAACATTGTGATAACCAGGTAAGTCCGCTCGATGTTTCTCCTCTTCCACATCTGAAAGATTAAATAAAAACTACGATGTCTGAGGATGAAACTAACAAAAACAAAATGATAACCGTGAAAAGCATAAAAAGACAGTTTCTAAAAGGATTACGGAAACTACTCGAAAATGAATAAACCACACGCTTCTTACATGCATCCCACGTTTAGGAAGATAGAGTATAGTACAGAGATTAGCCTACTGACATTTAGGAAGATACACGCTTCTTCTATGCATCCCACATTTAGGAAGATACAGTATAGTATGGTCCACTCTTGGCTAAGCACTCTGGGCGAAAGGTTTTCCTCTATGACTGAACTTCGCTTCGCTTCGTTCGTTGGGTCAAGATACGTAGTGGATAAGGACCAAGGATGATTGTGTGGCCTAAAGTCGCGGAGACTAGCCTATCAGCTAACTATATAGCTGTTACACCACATGTTTGGCCAACCCTCTGTGTTGTTTTCTTTTAGAAAAATATTCCATAACACCAACCTCCATGAAACAAAAGCTTTAGCAATTCAAATAATATGCTGGAAGCTACTCCATATACACATCTATATTTGTGATCAAGTCAACAATTTTCCATCAGGTGTTCATAAAATTGAGCAAAACTGACCAATATATCTACTAATTCTCTGAATTGAGCTCTTTTTGCGAATTGCGAATAATTTCTCTTTCTCGTTAATCGCCACCATTAGACACCGAAAAAAATTATCAGATCAAGTGTTGTAAAGGAAGAAAAGTGGGATCGAGATAGATATTTTGGTGTACCTGGTTGATCGGGATGCAGAGGGAGGTCAAGATAACGCTCATGGTTGAGTTGAGATTCAAGAGACGAGTCGTCCAGGAGGGCAGATTTGGAGCTGCAATTGCGACGGCGTTTGGGCGGAGGCGAGGAGAGGAGGTGGCGGACGTCGAACCGATCAATTTTTAGGGAGTTCCAATCAACAAGCACGTCGTCGGAGTTGACTAAGGCCGCCATGGCGTCGTCGTCAAAGAGCATGGCGTGGCGTCCAACGACCTCCAAATCCATATCTGCTAGCTGCTTTCACGATAGCTGGATGGAATTGCTAAATTACTGATGTTTAATAAATTTATTTTCGAAAATTATATGGAACCCTAGAAATGAGGGGATTTCCGTGACATATTGAAGTGTATCTTTCAACGAAGTTCCACTAATAATTAAAATTTTCAATTCAACCCCGACATTTAATCTCAACTTAAACTTAACTCAATTTAAATCAACTTCTCTGTCTTCAATATTATTAATACATAGCTCGTGCGATTTACGGACAAAAATATTAAATGGGTTATTTTTACAGATTTCGTTCTTGAAGTCTAAAAACAATAGGGTTATCATCTATTTTTCATTTCTTTTAATCTAAAAGTTAAGTCTAAAAAACAATAGAGTTATAATCTATTTTTCACCTCTTTTATTCAGGTTCTTTTTAGCCAGAACATTTAGGGTTGACTTGTAAAATAATTAATATATTATCTCGCTAACACATTAATACAAATATAAATTTGATTTCAGTGTATATATTTCTTTCTTGATATAATAGAAAACATCAGTTTTACTTATTTGTGTTCACTATATAATACTTAATTGTTATTTTATTATAAATTTTGTTGTCATATAATGTCCTTTTTTTTTATTTATAAAAGTTATAGAAGTTCTACGAGCATGTTTGTTTATAAGAATTTTCAAAAAATTTCTAACATTTTAACTCAGCCATTTTTTTAACTCAACTTTAACTCAACACCACTATTATCAATATTATCAATATAATTAAACAATATCAATCAATCATTCATACACATCACATCAACCTTAATTCACTATTCATCTACTCACATAATTTTAACTAACCATCATATCACATATTATATCTCCTACTTTTACATCAATTTAATTTTAATCATTTTATTTCAAATATTATTTTAATATACCCACCAACAACTAATCATACCATCTTTTCAAAATTAACCAAACCAAACCAAAAAAATCCAAACAAACCCAAAAAATTCCATAAACAAACATGCTCGTCTTTTTTTCTGTTTATTTTATGTAATGAAAAATATTCAAGGCACATTATCATTATTAATTTATGTAATTTAAAATATTATAATAAATCTAAAATTAAATAGTCAATAAATATTTTACAAAATATATACACATGTATTTTTAGAATCTTTTTGTATAATAATTAAATAACTTTGATTTAGGAAATGTAAAGAACTCATCCTTCAATAATCAAGATTTTTCTAATTTATATTATAAGGATTTATAGTTTATTTAGCATACACTGCAATAAAAATATATTTTACAATAATTTTATCATAGAAATAAATCAAAATAAAATAATGGTAAAAGAATTATCATGGTTGTCAATAATATACAAATAAATTCTAAAAGACAGTTAATATATTTTAATTTTAAATTTTAACCATTAGTAAAACTATTTAATGTATCTGGTCATTATCTCTTTAATGATAAATTATACTAATTTGAAAAATAATTTATTTTTTTATATATAACGAAATTAAGCTTAAGAAAAAATTATATTGACAAAGATTAATTCACCAACTTGATTTCGCCTGATTGGTTAGAAGAAAAAATCCCTTTGATGTTGTGCCGACGGTTTAGATGTGATCACATGAACGTAGTGTGATATAGGATGTAGACTAGATGATTTGTGTTCATCCTGCGATTATGATTTAAGTCATTATACTGAATTGACTGCATGGTATTCCCACGGTGAGCTAGTTGGTTTGTTAACCCCCATTATTTCCACCCTTTCAGGTTGAGATGGCAGCAACGGCGAAAGACGGGCGAGTGGAGTCATACTTACTTGTTATTTATGAATTGTTATTACTTTCGCCATTTGTTATCTTTTCATCAGACTTATAAGCATGTTGGATTATTGAAATCGAATTAAGAATTTGTTTTGAAATTATTATGAGCATGCTATACTTCTCTCGTATGATTATGATGTGAAGTGTTATTCTAGGATGGTTTATTCTCAGTGGCTTGTGATGACGCTTAAGTTATAAATTGAGTTTGAAATGAGTAATGTAGTTAAACATTCTTAAAATGATTTGCAAAAATTAAACTCTGATTGTTTAGAAAATATGGATTTTTGTTATAAAAATAACGGGCTGTTACAGACTTAGTATTTAATTTTTGCGTTGGATAGTTTTTGGATCTGTTTTACTTGAGTTTGTCCATGTCATTCAAGACTTAATTTCATTTATAAACCACATATGCAAAATTGGATCCAATGCATTGGGGACGCTCTAATATATAAACTTCGTTTACAAATAAGTGTCGTCGTTTAAAAACTAGAAAACTAAAAGCTCGTCTCTCTCTCTCTCTCTCTAATTTTCCCCAAGTGAAAACCCTAGCTTTTCCGTCGCCGCCTCCTCCAATCGCGCATTCAACGGCGCTGCGGCGTCGATCGATTTTGAGCGATTCTCCATGTATGGCTTCGGCAACCTGATGGAGACGAGACCGCGATTTTGTTTCTAAATAAATATGATAGGCTTCGTATTTAGATTATTTATTTCCTATTAGTATTATTCCCTTTTATTTTATTACCTTAGTTATTTTATTATAGTTGGTAAGTAAATAAATATCTAGCCTAGCTTGTTAGGCAAGATAAGTAGGACTCTATATATTTATCTCATCTCTACCGTAGTCAGATGGTTGAATTTGAAGAAGATTTATGATATTTGAGTTTTGTGTTTTATCGAGAGAGTATCTCGTTTTATTATTCCCATTCGTTCACGCTTCCCTACATCAGTTGGTATCAGCAGTCAGTACGATTCGATTCAACAATGCCGCCCAAAAAAGATGCCGCAAACGATCAACGGGACGCAGTCTTCAACGACCGGTTTCAACAAATTGACGATCGGTTTGTGCAGTTGGAGGAACGTTTCATGGAACGATTTGAGGGTCTTTCTTCGGGGATCGTAGATCTACGTTTGGCGCTTAACGACGTGGTCCGGGAATTGCAAACGAGTCGTGCTGCCGGCGACCGGGGTGTGCACGGGGGGTTTCGCGGGGGTCGTGGTGGTCGTGGTATAGGCGGGGCGCCCCGCCGGCGATCGCCACAACCGCCGTCCGGCGAGGACGACGATGAGGACACCATCTCCGTGGTTAACCCGTTTGCGGAGTTGCAGCAACCCCGTGACAACGAGGATGACTTCAACGGGCATGGTGGTCGGGGCGGTCGACGCGGCGAACGGGAAATAGCCGGTGGAGATCGTAACCGCGGGGCCTGGGGTTACGGCCACGACGGTGCAGGCCTTAGACGGTTTCGGCGCGATTGGCCCGATGGTGACTATCAGCAACCTCGCGGGGGCCGACGCGATGAACAGGGTTTTGGCGGTGGCGACGATTGTGCCGGCGTGGTCCTCGGTGATCAGCACCGTCGCGACCGTGCAGATGACCAGAGACGTCGCGATTGGGACCTGGACGGCGACGGGCATGCCTTCGACGGCGGCGGACGACAGCGGCGTGGCTGGGACTTTCCGGAGGATGACGAGCAGCAGCGCGGCTTCCGTCGGGGTGACGTGTACCATGGGCTGCAGCGACGTCCTTTTTTTCGAGGGATGGAGGCCGGCGGCGACTCACGCTGGGAGCAAGGTTTTCGGGTCGAGATTCCCGAGTTCTCGGGTGGGCTTGATGCTGCGGATTTTCTGGATTGGTGGGCTTCCGTCGAGTCTGTGTTCGAGTATAAGGTTGTGCCGGATGATCGACGTGTCGCGCTTGTAGCTACACGACTTCGTGGGCGTGCGGCGGCTTGGTGGTTGCAACTCAAGAGTTCGCGGCATCGTCAGGGCAAGCCGAAGATCACGACTTGGATTAAATTTCGTAAGCACTTGGAACGTGAATTTTTGCCTTTTAATTATGCTCGTTCAATTTATCAGCAATTTCAGAATTTACGGCAAGGGGCACGTTCCGTTGATGAGTATACGGAGGAATTTTATCGCCTTTTGACTCGTGTGGAGGTTCGGGAGACGACCGACCAATTAGTGTCGAGATATGTGGGCGGCTTACGTGTTGTCATCCAGGATACACTAAATATGTTTATTCCCGACACAGTTTCTGATGCACATCAACGGGCTTTGATGATCGAACAACAGCTAGCTCGAAAGGCCGGCTCGTCTTTTGGGCCCTCTGCCAAAGGGGTGAATGGGACTGCGGCTCCGACACCGACTCCGCCGACTCTTCCAACGGGTGTCGGCATGGCTTCGGACGGGCGTGAAGTTGGCCTCTCGCCTGGGGGCAGGCTTCGCTGCTTTGCTTGCGGCGAACCGGGACATCGCCAAGCACAATGCACAAAGGCGAAAGGGTCGCGGGCTTTGCTGATTGACGAGTCTGGGTCGGGAGAGTATGATGGCCCTCCTGTTTTCGATAAGGAGCCAGAGGTGCCCGTGGTTCATGTTTCGGGGGACGTCGGTACTGCATTGGTCCTTCGTCGCTCGCTCTTGTCGCCCCACTTATCTCTCGAGATTGAGAGCTTACGACATCAGCTGTTTGAGTCCACGTGCACCATTGGTGGCCGTGTGTGTCGTTTTGTGATTGACTCGGGTGCCAGCGATAATGTGATCTCCAAGGAGGCGGTGGCCAAGCTTGGGTTGTTGACTGAGCCCCATCCACATCCTTACTCTCTTGCGTGGATACAACGGGCTAATGCTGTTGATGTCAACAGTCGTGTGTTGGTGTCTTTTTCTGTCGGTTCCGCCTATAAGGATGAGGTTTGGTGTGATGTAGTGCCTATGGATGATTGGCATCTCTTATTGGGCCGTCCTTGGCAGTTTGATAGGTCTGTGCTTCACGATGGTCGGCTTAACACCTATGAGCTTTTACATGAAGGCTTCCGCATTGTTATACACCCGTCGGCTCCTAGTAGGTCCCCTTTGTCACGAGGGTCACCGGCATTATTCATTTCTCGCTCCGGGCCATGTGCGGAGTTCTGTGGTTCGTTGGATGATCGATCATGGGTTTTTGAAGTGGGAGATTTTGTGTGGGCTGAATCCGCGTCGGATGGTTGGATCGGCCCCTACGAGCTCGTCGATAGGCTCTCGTTGGATACCTTCCGTCTCCACTTACCTTCTCATGTGCCTTCGTCGGATGTTTTTCACGTATCGCATTTGGCCCCTTTGCAGTGCTTTGACTTTGACGGAGACGAGACCGGTTCGGATTCGCGGCCGAATCCTTCTCAACCGGGGGAGGATGATGGAGACGAGACCGCGATTTTGTTTCTAAATAAATATGATAGGCTTCGTATTTAGATTATTTATTTCTTATTAGTATTATTCCCTTTTATTTTATTACCTTAGTTATTTTATTATAATTGGTAAGTAAATAAATATCTAGCCTAGCTTGTTAGGCAAGATAAGTAGGACTCTATATATTTATCCTTATCTCTACCGTAGTCAGATGGTTGAATTTGAAGAAGATTTATGATATTTGAGTTTTGTGTTTTATCGAGAGAGTATCTCGTTTTATTATTCCCATTCGTTCACGCTTCCCTACATCACAACCCCTCTCCGGTTGTCTTCTCGTTGGTAGAGTCCGACGGCTATCGAGGCGGGGGAGTTCGACTTACTCTAACCTTCTCCAGTGAGTTGGTCGAGGTGGGGTGTGGCCTCTTTCCCCTGTTTGATTTCGCGACCCTATGCAGGTGATGTTGACTTTGGTTAGAGCGGGCTGTGGGAGGTGGGTGTTAGGCCGAGGGCGGCTTGGGTCAGCGAGGTTGGGGGCCGATGCTTCGGTTGCTATTCTGGGGTGGCCCGATCGGGTAAAGAGATTGGTTTAGCGGAGAGTCCATTTAGCCGCTTGTCGGAGTGTTTGAGTTCTTTTCTCGGGTTGGGTTTCTTTCCTTTTGGTGGGCCGTCTTCAAATGTCGGACCGTCGCTTGTGTGATTGTTTGTCTGTGGTTGGAGGACGACATTATTCTAGTCTATCTGGTGTTTGTGTGTTTTTTTCTTTTTAGTAGTCCAGTTGGTTGTTTTTTGTTTTATACTTCTTGTTGAAGCTTGATTCTCCATCGGTGGGAGTGTATAGTTTGTTTGTGATTGCGTGAGTTAGTGTAGTTCTGATGTCTACTTTGTGTGGGATTCGGCTAAATGGCTGATTGGCTCATTATAGTTTTCTAGTTGTAATTATGCATCATATGTAAAACCTATCGTTTTGAAAGAAAAAAAAAAGTGTCATCAATTTCTTTTTTCGTTCTGTATTTATTTTTAAAAAATTTATTGATTGTGCAGCTATTACTGATGTTCTTTCAATAAAAAAAAAGTACGTGATTAAGATATTCTTTGTGTTTGGTATAATTATATTAAAACTAATACATTACGATTCATTAAAGTGGATTAGTCATGACACTTCTCTATCCCAAAATGAAGAAATGATGGCAAGGATTTTGCCTTCGTTGTACAAGAATTGCAATTCAAAATCTTCCATGTTCAAAAGTTAATAAAGCTTTCTTCACATGTGCCAAAGATTCTTTAACTGCAAAGGTTAGGACATTTTGAACTAAATGAAAGAGAAACAACACAAGCATATCTCACCACTTTTTTGAACCCCTATCCTTAGTGTAAGAATTGATTCTCAAAACAAAAACAAGAGAATATCATTAAAACAACTACATCACCTTTTTTTTTTTATGTTCCTTCTAGACCCCATGAAAAATCAACTACAAACATGATTTCACATCTACTTCTACAAAACACAAATACATCTAGACAACCATGAACTCTCGTCTCTTGCTTTGGCCCCATAACCAAACATAAACTAACTTTTTTCGAACTTAATTATGAGCTCCAGATGGAATTATCGACTCCAAGTTCACAGCCCCAACAAGATGTAGTAGACGAGTGTTATTGGCAATGCTATTAGCATCCCAAAAATGACTCTGCGCATAAACGAGAAAAGATTGGTCGACATTTAAGGTCACTATATATATATAGAGAGAGAGAAAAAATAGCTCTATCAAAGTACAATACTATTTTATCACATATACTATATCTAGTCGCATATACGAGTGTACTCACGCCGTGCTGAGGATATCAGGGTACACATTGTACTCCTTGGCGAAAACAAAGGGTACAATTCCTTGAGGCAGAGCAGCCTGCAAATCACTTGCCAATTACAAAACTAAAAAGGAAATGCAAAGACAAATTATAAATATATAAATATATTTCCATATTGGCATGTAACATATCGAGCACATCCAATAAAATTGGAACGATACAGAGAAGATTAGCATAGACACGCATAAATCGAGAAATGGTCTTATATATGCATGTGTTTTTTTTATTTTTTATTTTTTTTTTCTGTAACATTGTCCCGTTGCACTTCAACTTATTGAACATCCTTTCTTTGGGAACTAAAATATATAAGAGAATAATTCTGTTTTTTTTAATTGCATCGGTTATACAATCACTGTTTATATATCCTAAAAGGAGTTAAGTTCACGTGTTGGTAGTCATGTGTTGTGGCTTTTTCTAATGAAGATTCTTTGGGGAAAGTTAACTTCATTTTGATATATATGGGGACCATAGATTATATAAGAATATATATAACATTGGAGTGATCAAAATCCTAGAAATGCATGCTTAAGAGATAACATAAAAAAATACAACAAACCTCTGTCGTTTTAGATAACTCTATTTTCCAAGTGAAGTTGCCTTAAAATGGACAAACTTCTTTGTATTTTCTTTTCTATATCTAAGTTAGGAAAAAGCTACAATCCCGTCACGGACGTGAGAGTTTTTAGCCATCAGATATACAATTATTGTAGATACATGGAAGTTACATGTTTATCGAATGACTAAAAACCCTCACGTAATCTTGAAGTTTTACACAAGGCCTTTATTTTAAGCATTATCCCTCAAGCAAGTTGTTGCTCATTTTTTTTTTTTTTTTTTTCCAATTGTGTATAAAGATAACATTACTTTTTATTTACATTTAACTATTTCAAAATCTTAAACGACACGTGAAATTTCGTAACATTGTCACATAAAAAGACGTCGTATTATGAACCGCTGTATTCTTGTTTCTTTCACTTTATCCCCCGAACTTGTATTATTTTGCAATATATCCCCTAGATTTTGAAGCTTACCAACGTGCAAGATTCGTTTGGACGACAAAAGTATATAAAATCTAAAGTTGTAATAAAGGTACTTAAAGTGCAAAAGGCAAAAACTTCCATGGTGTGACATGCAAAATTAAAAAAAAACAGCAAGATTTGTGATGTAAGAAAAGTGATTGTAGTAATTTAAAAGGAAATGATGATGAAACTTACCTGAACAATAGCAATGCGCAAGAGAACACCACGAAGGCCAACAGCAATGGAAGCAGCAGCCATGACAGCTGGCCCTGTAAGGAATCTCACAGCCATTGCAAAAGCTGCCACTGAGTTCCCACATGCTATTATCCTCGGTTGCAAAGCCATGAACAAACCTGATGATGATGAATGATCAAGTGGGGTTCGAGCGTGACGAGTTTTTAGCCATTAGATCATACGCACCCAACACGAATATATGTTGATCTGACGGCTAAAACCCCGCGATGAAATTTACATGTGAAATTAATTTATGGGAAAAGCAAAAGGGGGAGTAAAAACTAAGGGAGACATGCCATCGTGAGCACTACTTTGCCTTTTGGCATGCTTTGCTTTCTTTGGTTTATATATATATTTTTTTCATTTTTTTTTTTAAATTATTACACCAAATCTTGAAATAATTAAATATAAGTAACATCAATCAATCAACAAACACATATCATATAGCTAACAATTGCAAGGAAAATAAATAACAAAAAAAAAATAAAAATGAAAGACTCAATGTCATATGATTACTCACCAAGACTGAACATGGCCATGCCAAGGCCTGCATCTGACAGTATAGATATGGACTTTGCTATTATTGCAGGCATCTCAACATGCCATCTACACAAA